ACATTCATAAACTAAATTTCTTTTCTAAGAACCAATCTTAATTGCAACGCTTAATGTTGCAAACAGAGCCTTTTGTTGTAATCGGATTTTGACAGTTTTTCTTTATCCAAAGGAAAATCTAATGTAATGTTTGTTACAAACTACACCCCCAAATATGCTCATTGTGTTAATTAAAATTGTATATATACTCAAGGCTATAACTGGATTATTTTCCTTTTCAAACACTCAACCAAGGACTGAAACGTACATCGTATCCTTTATTCTCTTCGATAAGTATTGTACTACTATCCCCTGCGTTATTATAACCTGCTATCCTCTGCGAATTAATAACTTCCTCCTAAACCGAAGAATACCTTCTCAGAATATTCGTCTGTGCCCAAGAACAAACTCTTCCAAATCAAACTCGACAAATCAAAAACTTTTATTTTCAACTTTTCCTACAGAAACTGCCTCAAAAAACATGTGCTTGTTAACTTCGACTTCATGTTCAGTGATGGATAAGAAACCTAGCAGATCGATTGGAGAGGTTCATCATATCTGCGAGTTTGTTTTTTGGTTATTTGAAATTTATTTTTCACAACTTTTGGTGACTAATTGTTTACTTTGAAGAAATAAAAGCAAGTACTTCGCGTCTTAGCTTATTTTTACTTGAGAAACGTAAAATTTGTTTTGTAATTCAACAAGTTTCAGTTGTTGAGGTGTCTTGATGACTTCAAAAAAAAATCGAAATGATTCGCAAACAGGACTGGACAATTTTAAGATGGAATTACAGAGAGGAAAAAAAGTAATATTTCAGTCGGGAAATCAAAAAAATTCCAGGAAGTTTCGAAGCAGGGATGCGTGAATAATTTGTGTATATACTTAGCGATTCCACATGCCTTCCTTGTTTCTCCACTATATCTAGTTTTACTAGCTTTAGTCAGAGATATGTGATGATTGTTAAATGGAGATTCAAAAGCTGTTTCTGAAATTATCCTGCATCTAATCTTTATCGAGGACTTCCTTGTCCGAACTTTATTTTTCCTCAATTTTTGAAAAATTTTTCCCATTTTCAGCTAGGCATGGAGTAAGAGCCTATGTGGGAATCGGCAGTGGATCAGTTGAACTTGGATAGCAGTGTACTTCATAAATGTACCTTTGGAAGCTGAAAGAGTTTGTGAATGTCTATTTCGAGCATATGAATAGTTGGGGAATTAGATTTTCGCGAAAAGTTGTGTTAGTTTATCAAACACTGTAATGTTACCAAAGACGGTCCGAGAAATTAAGTAAAGTGTAGTGATCTTATCAAAATATTTTATCTCAAGGAACAGCAGTGTCGAGACGACGAATATTCAATTGAAAAATGAAGAATTGTTATTATATCGGCATTAATCTTTGCTAATCCATATACCGGGATTTTGAAAAAGTAAAAGCTTACAAGGACAATTTGCTGCTATTACAGGATATTTGTTACATAATTCTTTTAAGGTACGGAATTCAATCGCCGTTTAGTGTAGGAGCAATACTTTTGTATATTTACAGTTCTGTTTGTAGTGGTTATTTATTCTACATGTTGCATACTTCTATCTCAACGAGAGTTGTGCATTATTCTTTTAAGAGTTACAGAGAATAAAAGGTATATTTGGCAATTAATCAAGTAGGAGTCTGTGGAAAATTTGTGTAGAGGTATGCAGAGCTTCGGCTTCCGATACAGTCAGATAGGGTCATTATATGTATATATTAGATATATATAGATAGCTGAATGGATAAATGGATGGATGGACAGATAGATACATTAGATAGATAGATAGATAAATGCATATTTGATTGAGGTGGACAGATAGTCGTTATGTCGTTATGTATTTTATGTGGTCGTTATGTCTTATGGAACCTTTGCCCTAACTTTTGCAATGTAATGCTTTTCATACGGATTTAATGCCTTTTAATATTTGTTGAATTTCAACTGATTTGATAGCCTTGTCTTCCTGTTTCCTGAATTTGTAATTTAACCGCATGAGTATTGTGGGTGCACGTCATTTCTCTCATAGACGAGAGACTACTTTCCCGATTTTTAATTGTCCAATTTTAATGCTTATAGTATTCTTTTCTAGCTCATGCAATGGCTTGATTTATTTATATGGCAGTACTTTTTATATTTTTCAATAATTTTGTCACACGACTTCGACTTGCACCATACTTTTTCAAGCAAATTTGTAAGTGGAATTTTATATTCATATCATAACTCCAAATGAATGAAAAAAACTTGTGAACATTTTTCATCTTCAAGCGTTTAAGAAAAAAAACGTGGCTAGACTTTTCTGACGACGGAATAGGATGAGATAGCATTAACGGAAGCTCGATGGCAGGTCAAAAAATACGCCCCTAATCCGACTCACCAGTTTGCAGCCACGTTTGTCGCGAAAGTCGCGAAAATTAAAATAAATTTTGTGTAAGATGGGAATGCTTTCCATGATTCATGATTCATTAATTATCTCATCTTAATATCTGTCTAAATTCACATTCCCATGTTTTTTATCCCTGTATAAAGG